GTGTGTGTGTGTGTGTGTGTGTGTGTGTGTTTGTATACTCGACAAAATACTGACATGGCGTGGAATCACTCATAACTAAACACAGCGGACATACTCTAGCAACTCTTTCTCGTCGCAGTGCTGTATAATCAACACCAGGATATCGTGGGGAATCATCACATCCATCTGTACAGTGGTCAAAGAATTCTGAACGTCACTATTTCTAGTAACTGCTTGGTTTTTGGAGCTGTGTACACCCTTCTCTGTTCCATCACGTGTGCTTGACCCACGCTTAGTCCCCCTTGCAAGTGCGTTGCGTACCTTATTCGCTGTATGTTTACTGTGCTTAGAATTTAGTGTATCTCCGTCCTTCTCAATGGGCTGTAATAGCATCACACGCGCGTCTTTATGTGTATCCGCACCCTTCTCCAGAGGTTGGGTGGGTTCAGGCTCATCGTTCGTGTCGTTGCATGCGTGTATATTTGATTGGCTGCTTTGTGTGGTACCTGTGGCGGCGTTGGAAGTACCAGTAGTTGCGATCCTTGCCCGCTTAGCACTCCGAGTGTTTCTCATGGTGACTGACTATAGCCGCTGAAAGTCGAAATGGGTATATCTATATCGGATTATCAGTAGGGTGATGCATACACCCCTGTACGCAAACTAACAAGAAGTATTTATTTATCGCAACCAACTATAGACAAGTGTGTGCGTGTGTATGGGTGAAGTATATACACCGCTATACTTATACTAGTCCAGTAACCGTCGAGGTGAGAGTTTACGTGTGTGTAATGTGATATTTACATATTTTATTTATAATATAATATAGTGGGTGGCGTGCCACAGCGAAGTTGCGAACTCCCTTGGCAGGTGGCGGCTTGGCGCACTACAACCAGAAATGGTGATTTCAGGTCGCATCATTTCATGAAAAAGCCAATAGCTATTGTTTCGGATCGAAACCAATTTTATTTATAAACGCGACATTAGTGGATTCGAAGATTTTGGCGCGCCTAGACTAAATACGTATATGTACAAATTATTTTATTTATAAATATGGTCACTCTAGAGTCTAGAGTCTACTAGGCCCTATAGTAGGCCCTAATAGGGTGAGAGTACTGAATGGTGTCGCATAGATTTGGTATACGGTTTCGCCGGTAGCGCTCAGAATCACAACTACAAACCCTGCACGAGTACGAAACCTGTTGCTCTGGGCTGGTTGCGGATCATGCATATACCGTAACCCTGCGTCCGTTCTTCCAATGAAAACCCTAAACCATACAACTAGTGCCCTGGCTGTGTGGCCCCTTCCTTGATACGACTAGTGCATTAATTTGGATGTGATAAGAAAGAAAACAGCTGGCAACAGCTCCATTGCTACAACCGGGGCATTGCCTGGGGCCGTACCGAACAGATTCCAGGGTCCAGGGTTTAGGGTTATTGAGCGCCTGGCCGGGTTGTGATATAAATCGTTCACTATTCCTCAACTGTTACGCGTGATGCATTGATTGTGCTGTGATACAACTGCGACGGTGTCTCCATCAGCAGAAGCACTACATAGTGCGCTCAGGGCAGTCGCATAATAGTGAGTGTGTCATGTACGCTCTCCAGTATTGGCGGTTCAGCTTCACCCAACACCTCTTTCTGCATGTCGAAAGTGGTATGTATGTGCTACGGGGCCAGTGGTTGCTTGTGAGATTGATGCTTGATAATAGTCCATATGTATGTCGAAGTGGTACCGCGAGATACCACAGGGCCATTGGTGCCTGTGGGTGATGTGCGCGATAATAGTCCATATGTATGTCGAAAGTGGTACTACGGGGTACTACGGGGTCATCTTGTGGGTGGATTCCGCGATAATAGTCTGCATTTGTCGGGTAGTGCGTGACAATAGGCTGCACATGTCGAGTGATGTCGACTAAAGTGTTTGATAATAGTCCGCATACATCGAGTGGTGTCGAGTGTCTCAATCGGTCTTCAGCTAGCTAGAATTTCGAATACTTCCTTTGGGTCGAGGCGTGCTACCATGTCAATTGTACCCCACATTAGGTTAGGTACGCTTGATAATAGTTTTATATGCCGCGTAGTGCCATTCAGTGTCAATCAGTCTCGATACAATATAAAGTTCTGGGCAATATTTCCTGATTGACAATCGGTCACCACTGGTTCAAGTACTGTGATTGAATCGCAAAGCCATATTTCGTATGCTTCAGAACTTTGGCACTCACCCACACTCGTGTTCGTGTTCGTGTTCGTGTTCGTGTTCGTGTTCGTGTTCGTGTTCGTGTTCGTGTTCGTGTTCGTGTCCGTGTTCGTGTTCGTGTTCGTGTTCGCGTTCGTGTTCACATGCTAGCTATGTAAACAGGGGATCGGTACACAGTCCTATCGCGGGGGGCCCGGCCCCTTATTTTGGGTTCCAGGTGCATGCTCTGTGTAGTATGGGGGACAATGGTTGGTTGTAGGGGGGTCATTATGTACCTCAAAGAGTAAGTTCAGAGTGCAACCGAGATAAGAAGATTGCAAAGGCGGCTTCAAGTGGTAATAATGAAGTGCTATAGAGGAGGGTGAAGGTTTTAAGAGTTCTATAGAGATATAAGGCGAGGGAAGCAGGCACTATGCATATGGTGGCTGAATAGTGGTATAGTAGAAGGAAGAAATCGAAAGCGATGGCACGAGGTTGCTGACAATCAAAGCCACTGTGTATGTGGATATACATACACAACCACATGCACATACACATACACGTACACATACAGATAGTTGATAAAAACACACATGTACGGAAACACACAATAGCGCACACAACCATAAACACACATAAAAACACACAGGCACAGGCACAAACACTACACACAAGCACTCGCACATACACACACGCACACACATACATACACACACACATATATATATATATATATGTGTGTGTGTGTGTGTGTGTGTGTGTGTGTGTGTGT